TTATTCCGCTTTTTAGATCGACCTATTTGTGATTTTGCCATATCACCTATTCAAAATATTTTTTATTGAAGTTGAGGACCGACATATAAAAATAATATTATGAGTTTATATGAATAACATCAATAAATAAATCTATACAAATACATAAATAATAATGAAAATACAAATGAACAAAATGTACACGTATTGTTTAAACACGATGAATTATTTTTTTAATTTTCACGCTGAATAGACATTTCAAAAAATAAAAATATCAACCAATAAATTTGTAACAAATGTACAAACGATATTCTTACGCAATTAAAATTGATTTATCAGTTATTATTAAATAATAAGCAATCCATTTATAAGATTATAAATTAATTAATCTATATTTTTGCAATTAAACGTTGAATATACTATAACAACATACCATTTGTGACATCTAATAATGGTAGGCCATGAGGAGTATGCAACACACTCTGATATTGATAGGAAACATAGCCCGATCCATTATTTTGTTGTTGTGCAATAAAAGATGATCCATTAACAACAGATGACATCATACAACCTGAAAAAATAAATATGAATTATATCATTAGTCAATAACTATATATTTGTATTAATATATTATTAAACTATATTAATTATTAATAGTTAGCATTTTATTTTAAAAATTTAAAACTATTAATAAAATAATTAATATTTTTACAAAAAATTTCCGATTATAATAAAGCAAAATAATTACAGAAAGTAGTAATTTACATTAGTACAAATTAATGTATGTGAAATTGATGTAAACATGTTAACAAATTTTCAAAATGATTGATTTGGTTCAACTTTTTTTGTTATATAAGTTTTAAACATTTCAAATTATATAATTGATAAATTTATAATTGTTTTCAGTATTACAATAGTAAAAACTTATTACAATAATATTAACATTTTAAAAGTAGATAATAATGTTTTTATGCTTAATTTCTATTTAAATAATATTTGTTTTATAGTAATGAACAATTATATATAAATAATTTTCTATTAATAAAGTATTTTAAGTCTCAATTGAAAGGGAGTAGGCCAAGTTCTATTTTTCCAGTCATACAGATAAAGAGTTAGCCCAATACACTTACCTACATTTTAATTCGACCGGCTAAAAAAGTCGAACAAAAAATTGCACGAATAGGATTGAAAGGTCTGATATATAAAGTTGCTAGAGTCATTTGGAAGTTTCACTCTTTCCATTTAGACGATTCATCTCATCCAAATACTAAAATTTCGTTCAATTTTCCAAATCCTTTCAATCTAAAATTTTGAAAATAAAAACTGCGTTTGCTCTCTAAAAAAATGATATAATCATTCGTGATATTTTTATACAGATCGAGACAGCTAGTTTCTGGGTCCTGGTTACATCAGTCGAGTAATTTGATGATGGAGGCGGAGTGGATGGCTGAGACGGAGATTGTGGGGAAGGCAATGCGGTGGGCGGTGGTGTGGAAGATGTGGGAGCCAAATCGGTGGGAGGCGGTGTGGCGGACAGATCTGGCAGAGAAGGTGGTTGTGCGGTGAGTGGAGGTGTGGAAGATGTGGGATGCAAAGCGGTGGGTGGAGACGCGGCGGCGTGCAAGGCGTTGTGGTGGGTGGAGAAGGTGGTGATGCGGTGGTTGTCTATGTGGAAGATGTGGGAGGTAAAACAGTGGGTGGAGGGGGTGGGGGAGGTGGGCAATCAATGGTTGCGGGTTGTTGGGGCCGATTCTGGCGGAGAAGGTGGTGGTGCGGTGGGTGGGTCGGTGGTGGGGGATGCCTCAAAACAAAATCTTGCTTGTGACCACCCTATACTCTTACTCTTTCTCTAGATTCCAGCAATCAGGAGAATGATAAGAAAGGTAATATCTTGAT